ATTGCTGAAGTCGTATTTCCTGCAATCAAGTTTGGTGCGGTTTACTTATGCACTTATGCACACCCCTTACAGACCTCTTAGGAATGGGGTGAGGTCAACAGTAGACAGTTTGAGGTTAAAGTGCTTGGGGTTAGTGGAAGAAATCACAGAGTCAGGTAGAGTATTCCATTTAAGTGATCGTCCAATAGGACTTCAAGATACCTGTCACAGTTATTGTTTTTGAGCCAGGTTTCACCTAATCTGTACCTGTATATTTGGCTTTGTCCTTCCCAAGTATAAAACCTGACTTTCCTTTACACTGAATTTTATTTCAAAGGGCTGAGTGACCCCAGCCTGCTCAGGAAACGGGTTCATTCAGAGGGAAGATCCATTATCAAGACAACAAGCAAAGAAAAATACTTAAATCCATATGAAAATATGGTTTTAGGATACAGTTTTGGTTGCCACAATATGAAAAATATGTTGAGACTTTGGAAAGAGTTCAGAGAAGAGCAAGCATGGTGATTGGGGGCTAAAACATATGAAGAACCGTTGCAGAAATAGGGTGTGTCTAATCTAGCGAATAGAAGGACTAGGGGTGACATGACAACTGTCTTCCAATATTTGAGGGGCTGCTACAAGGAAGAAGGGGATCAAAGCCAAAGCACCAGAAAGCAAGACAAGAAGCAATGGATAGAAGCTAATCAAGGAGAGAAGCAACCTAGAATTAAGGAGGAATTTTTCTGACCGTGAGAAAAATGAACCAGTGGAACAGCTTGCCACCAAAAATTATGAATGCTCCATCATAGAATAGAGTCGAGTCGAGTAGAATTGAATTGAATTGAATTGAATTGAATTCTTTATTGGCCAAGTATGATTGGACACACAAGGAATTTGTCTTGGTGCAAATACTCTCAGTGTACATAAAAGAAAAGATACATTCGTCAAGAGTCAAGAATCATCAGGTCCAACACTTAATGATAGTCATAGGGTACAATAAGCAATCAAATCATACTAGGAAACAGTCAATAAAAGTTATTAGGATACAAGCAACAAAGTTACAGTCATAGAGTCACAAGTGGGAGGAGATGGGTGAAAGGAAGGATGGGAGGATTAATAGTGATAGTAATGCAGACTTAGTAAATAGTTTGACAGTGTTGAGGGAATTATTTGTTTAGCATAGTTCAGGAAATCACTGGATTTTTAAGAAAAGCCTGAACAGCCACTTACCTGGAATGGTAGAAGGTCTCCTATTTGAGCAAGGGGTTGGACTGTAGGACCTCCAAGGTCTCTTGCAACTCTTTTATTCTTTTGCTTAAAAATGCTTTGTCAAAATGCTGTTAATTGTTTCCAGCAGTTCTTAACTCCCTTAAGTCTGAACGGGAAATCGGTTTCTTTTTGTTCTGGATTTGTATGCAAACCATGAGCAGGAAGGCCCCATGGATTACATGGTCAGCTGTTTCCTCCCGCACTGTTGCTATAAGTTGCTTTGAATTGTCAAAATCTTTAGACCTTACTGAGTTTGACACCAAAACCCACTTGGACCACGCTGCCACAGAGAGGAGGAAGGGGGTCAAGCTATTTTCCAAGGCACCCGAAGACCAGACAAGGAAGAATGGATGGGAACTGAACAAAGAGAGGTTCAACCTGGAAATAAGGACAAATTTTCTGACAGTGAGAACCATCAACCCATGGAACAGAAGTTGCCTTCAGAAGTTGTGGGAGCTTCATCCCTGGAAGCTTTCAAGAAGAGATTAGACTGCTATTTATTAGAAATAGTGTAGGGTCTCTTGCTTGGGCAGGGGGTTGGTCTAGGTGACCTACAAGGTCCCTTCCAACTCTGTTAATCTTCCCCATTTCAGGTATAATCTTTCTCCTAATCTTTTCCCAGGTGACGGGGGTGGTGGTGGTTTGTCTGCAAAAGTTTTTCTTAGCCAACGGACCGTTTCATCTGGTCATTGAAGTCATTCTCGAGTGACGCAATTTTTCTTTTTTTTTTCTTTCTTTTTTTTACAATTCTATTATTCTCTCCGCTAAAAGCTGTTTATGGGGAAGAAGGATGTCTTCTCCCATTTCACAGTCCACAAAACCAGCCCGCAGCATATGTGCCGACTTTGGAAAATGAGTTTTTTTATGGGTGCGTTTTTGTCTCTCTTAGTGCAGTACGTAGCTGGCTTTCGAACAGATTGCTGAAATGGTCTTTGTATGCTTTTTACCCAGAGATAGATGGCATCCCAAATAAAACATCTGCCGTCTTGCTGTTTGTTAGGAATGGAAAACGTTTCTCCCAAGCGAAGGACGAGGCAGAGAAGACACAACTTTGTATGGCTGTATACCTAAATCATAAGTGATTGGATTTGCATGGTAAGCCAGGTTATAAGCAAATGGCAATATGGTTTAGCTCAATGAGTAAAGGGTCCATTTGTGATCTGGTCAATAAGTCTATAGTTTAGTGCAGGGGTCACCAACCTTTTGGACCTCAGGGACCACCAAACTCATAATTTTAAATCCCACGGACCACTAATATGAATTTTGACTGATGGTGGCTTGCTGATGTTTTCCCAGAGTCTCTGCAGAAAGCAGCAGGGGAAAATCCCAAGAAAAGTCTGCAGAAAAATTCCCCACCCCTTTTTCCTACCGATCAATCATTCCTTATTTGGAATTGCAGGATACTGTCTCCATCTCCGTTCTCGGGGAGAGAGAGAGAGAGAAAGAGAGACTTTTGGCTTCATGCAAGGAAAGCAGCAGAAGCAGCAGAAGTCTTTCTTTCTCCCCCCCCAAATCTGTCAGAAATGAGTCTTTGCCAGCGGAGCCTCTTGGAGCAGGAGGCCTTGCAGGGTCCCAAAGACTCATTTCTGGTGGAGTTTGGGGGAGAGAAAGAAAGACTTCTGGTGCTTTCCTTGCATGCAGCCAAAAGCAGAAGAAGAAAGAAGCGGAAAGAAGCAGCCTGGTGGCCAGGCAAGGAGTGTGGGGCAAGTGGGGCAAGTTCCCCCCCGCCCTTTCCCCCCTCCCCTCACTACCTTGTGTTGTTTGAAATGCAAGTGATGCAAGACTTGTGTTCCCGTGGGCCATGTGGCCGGTGCAGCCTTGTGTTCCCGCACAGCCTGGATTAATTGCTTTGGGGGTGACGTTTCTCTGTGGACCACCAAAAATTTTTCGCAGACCATCAGTGGTCCCCGACCTTCCAGCCTTGACAACTTCATGACTTTGTGGACTTCAAATCCAAGAATTCCTTGGGGCTTAGCTAGGGAATTCTGGGAAATCCACAAGTTAAAATTGCCAAATTTGGATATGCCTAGTTTAGTGCAATCTATGAACCCGGCCCTCACTCATACAGCTAGTCCTCAATTTACAGCTAGGATTGAGCTCAAACTTCATGTTGTTAAGTGAGGAATTTGTGAAGTGAGCTTTGCCCCATGTTACGACTTTTTCCTGCCAGGTTTGTTAAGGGAATCCCTGCAGCTTGTTAAATTAGTAATGCGGTCGTTAAGTGAATCTGGCATCCCAGTCAGAAGGAAGAAGAGGAAGAGGAAGAGGAAGAGGAAGAGGAAGAGGAAGAAGAAGAAGAAGAAGAAGAAGAAGAAGAAGAAGAAGAAGAAGAAGGAGTTAAAATAAGACTAATGTGTAATAACTATATAACTAGT